CCCCCCCTCCCCCCCAACACACACATACAGGACAGACCCAGGAGTGCTGGGTTTTCCGTTCACATCCCACCCGCCCCTCCCCAGGTGGCGGGGGAAGGCTTTTTCAGAGGCTCATCACCCAAGGCAAGGATAGTGTGGTTGACCCAACAGGAACAGGTGGGCCCTAACGAGCTGAGGCCAATTAAAGTTGGCCAGGACCAGCCCCCCTCCCCCCCAACACACACATACAGGACAGACCCAGGAGTGCTGGGTTTTCCGTTCACATCCCACCCGCCCCTCCCCAGGTGGCGGGGGAAGGCTTTTTCAGAGGCTCATCACCCAAGGCAAGGATAGTGTGGTTGACCCAACAGGAACAGGTGGGCCCTAACGAGCTGAGGCCAATTAAAGTTGGCCAGGACCAGCAGGCATGTGGAGATGACTTCGGGGTCCCTGGCTCCCTGGAGTCTATGAGGCCAGCTATTGTGGACAGGAGCTAAGATCCACAGGCCTCGGACGAAAGCCACTTGGGGCCCTAGATCTTTCTGCTCAGGCTTGCTGCCCCCTCACTCCAGCACTGCCCAGTGCCTTCTCCTTTCACAGAGATCTCAGTTCAGAGGCCACTTCCTGAGGACGCCCCCTAGTGATCCCACTTAGGCATCATCATGTTGTCTTGACACTCATTGATTAGGGCCCTCGGTTCTCTGCCTGTGAGGGACTCGGAATGAATGAGGAACACGCCAAGCTCTTTCTGCCACCACCCCAGGCAACGCCCAGCACTCTGCCCCAGGCCCCGCTGTCCAGGCCTAATCTCAACCCTCACACTGAGCTCCCTGGCTCCAGGCCACCTGGTGGCAAGCACAAGGCTGGTCTCAGGAGGGCACCACCTGTGAAAGGAGCCACCTCGAGGGCAGAGGAACTCTCTTCTGAGGGCCTGATGGAAAGGATGGTTCCACACCCCTGAACATGCATGTGTGCTGGGCTGTGTTCACCACGGTGGGTGCAGAGGTCTCAAACTCTGGGACTCATGGGTCCCTGCATGCAGGTAGCCTTCTGCTACTGGGACCCCCAAATCCAAGACCCAGCTCCAAAGTGCCACCCCATCCCCCCTCTGACTCCCCTTCACCAAGTGAGACCCCCCCAGCTCCTCCAGGACACTGGTTCGGCGTCCTGCGGTCCCTAAGCCCTGGGTCCCACTCACCGTCGAAGCTGCGCAGCTGAGCTGCCAGTGTGGCCTGCAGGGTGCGGCTGCTGTCCAGGAGCGCCGTCTCCAGCTCAGCACGGCTGCGGTTGGCCAGGTTCTCCTCCATCTCACTGGTGCAGCAGGTGTAGCCCTGGGGGCAGATCCGCAGGTGCTCACCTGCGGGGAGGGGGATGGGGGTGCTGTGTGAGACAGAGGAGGGGTGGGAGGCTGGGGGGCATGGACCCAGGGTGAGGCAGACGTGGGACCAGAGCTGGCCTCAGGCTGGTGGGGTCTCCCGGGCAGTGGGTGTGGATGGCAGGCCCCAGAGTGGGCACAGCTCAGGTGCTGGTGCCTGGGTGAAGGTAAATGGGGGCAGGGTGGGGCCTGAGTGGCCTGTGCAAACCCCAGCCCTTCCTTTGCAGGCCCTCACCTATAGGCCCTCCTGGGAGAACTTGGTGGGTATGGGCACAAAGCCGGGGTGCAGAAGACTGAGCCCAGGGTATGATGTTGGTGTCATCCCCACCATGCTGCCCCCATGCACTGAGGAGGGAGGGCCATCCAGGGGCTGGGAGCAGCTCAAGTCACCTCTGTACCCAGCACAGAGTGGCCTGAGGTCCTGTGTGTGGGGGTGGGGATGGGCTGCCAGACTCAAAGCTCACTAGAGGAGGCTTTCCACCTGCCTAGTGTCCCTCTCCTGCCTGGGCCCAGGCTGAGGATGGGGAGTGAAAAGGGGATCCTGGAGGGGCAGGTAGAGCAGCCTCAGCCTCCACCCCCCTCCCAACACCACCTGGGGCTCAAGGTCCCACTGAACAGCAGGCCTGGGTGGACCCGACCTACTATGGGGGTGCCTGGTGACAGACAGTTCTGGGCTGCCAGAGGGACTGGCTCCAAAGGGCGCAGACTACCCAGGGCAGTACAGGGCTGGGGAACAAGTCTGCTGGAGGGCCTGATGTGAGTCATCCCTGTCGAGCAGGACTTGTACCCCCTTCAAATGTCTGTCTCCTCTCCTGCACCCTCAGCGACCCATCACCCCTGGTGCTGAAGGTTAGAATCGACTCCCTGGCAGTGCTGTTCACAGCAATGCCTGTCCAGGTTCCCTGGCCGGTCAAGGACAGGCTGAGTCAGCACAGCCTGGCAGGGAGGGCCAATCGAGGGAGAGGGAACACTGTGCCTTTAAAAATGTGCTAGTCCTAGTTTTATAACAACTATGGTTTTGAGGTGGGTGCTGGGATACCATTTCACAGACCAGGAAACTGAGACTGGCAAATATTAGGTATCAGGACCAAGTGGCTCAGGCTGCAGGTCCTCACATCCACTGGGGCACCCCAAAGCCCCACTAGCCCCACCCCGTACTCATAGCCCCCTTCCCAGCCCATTCACTCCCACAGGACCTGGGCTGGGCTGGAGTGGAATGCAGGCAGGGTCTGACCTGGGCACAGGTTGGGTGGAGCAGGGGTCAGGGGTCCCCCTGTGCACAGTTCTGTGGTGGGGGCAGGGCTTCCAGGGCATGAGCTGGACAGAAGCCTGGGCAGGGGGAGAGGAAGAACCTGGAAGTGATTCCAGCAGGCCCATCTGAGGGGCTGTGGCCCCACCTTGGGTCAGTGCTGACAGACAGACGCAGCAGCAAGATCACTTGTGTGCCTATACCTTGGAGAACCCCAGGTCTGTGGGGGTGCAAAGTCAGGGGTCTGGAACCCGGCCCCCAGGGTGAATGAGGCTGTTCAGGTCTCCTGGGAGTCAGCTGGGGCAAGACATGCAGCCTGGTTCCCCAGGGCCTGGCAGAGAGGAGGTGCCCCATCCTTGTCCTCCTTCCATGGGGGGACAGGCACCTCCAGGCAGGGAGGGTTGGGACATGAGCACATTCCCAGCTACTGCCCTTCCCTCTCAGCTGCTGTCACTGACTGATGTGTGGACCAAGACCTTGGCCAGCAGGGGCAGGATACAGAGCCCAGAGCCCTCTCCCCAGGAGTCCCAGCCGGCAGAGCAGGGCAGATACCGAGCTGTCTCCCAGAGGGCAGAATGGGGCTGTGTGCACCCAATCAGGTGGAACCTGAACCCCTCACCCCATGCTGACCAGAGGACCCCATTCTGCCAGCCTCCCCAACAGGGAGGCTGCTCAGAACCATCAGTCTCCTGGTGGTGCTGGAGGTGGAGATGAGATGGGGTCATGCCCTCGGGGAGAGGGAAGGACAGTTGCCAGCCTGGGCTCAGCTGTGATGGGTACTCAGGCCAGGCTGGCTGGGTCCAGGCGCAGTGGGCTCTTTGGAGGTAGCTCTTCGGACAGATGGGCTGCAAAGCATATGCACTCATAGGCCAGGGGGGCAGCAGCATCCTGGGCTGGCTGACCCCCCTCCAGAATCCTCCTGGTCCCCTGGTGGTCACTCACCCTTTCCTGAAACCCCACATTTATGTAGATGGCAGAGAAAGAGGCTGAGTCCACAAGAAGCGAGTACAAGACACCAGACGCGGGGAACTCCCTCAGGGAAGACTCTGAGGGTCCCTTGGCACTGTTAGCCCACCCATCGCTCACAGCCGTGAGCTGGCCCCATGGCCTTGCCTGGCTACCTCGCCCAGCCGCCAGTGACCGCGCTGTTCCGGCAGCCCCAGCACAGCCCCCGTCCCTCCCTCCCTCCTCGGACACACACGGGAGTGAAGACACGGAGCCAGAGCTCGGGCACCGGCCTGAGGCCCCCAGGCAGGCTGGGCCGAGGCGGTCCTCCCAGCCCGCTCAGGGCAGACTCGGCGGCTGGCAGCCAAGGCACAGAGGCTTTGCTCTTCCCCGATGTCCAGCCCTGGCCCCTCTCGGCCTGAGTGTAGGTCATCCGTTGGCCCTGGACTTCAGGTTGGCAGAGGTGGGCTCTGCAAGGCACCCTCCTGCCATGCAAGCCTGCCCCTCCTGGTCAGAGCCAAGTAGTGCTGGGCGGTGGTCTGCCAGAAGGGAAGAGCTCCCTGACCTTGGAGGTGTGCAAGGCAGACTGAGGGGGTTCTCCACTCGCCATTCCACACCTTTCTACTCCCAAACACCTACGTCTTCTCTCAGCTCAATACTTGGAGAAGGGTGAGGACCAGGTCAGGGGGCTGGTCCTGCTCCCCCCGCAATCCACTCTGAAGCTTCCAAGTCTACCTCTCTCGGCCACCCTGCTCCCCACAACTTGGCCTTTCCTCCCCACTAACCCCTCCCGGGGCACTGAGGCTGCTCCCTGAGCTGGCCAGCGAGCCTCCCTCCTTTCTGCCAGCTCCCTTTGCTGGGTTCTTGACAGCTGGCTACATCCTTCTAGAACTCTCCCTTCACTCAGTCTTTGGGACACTTCCTCCTCCCCCGATCCCAGGTTTTTTTGCGGGGAGAGGAGAGGGCTGTTGTTTCAGGCCCCCAACTCCCAGACTGCTCATCCTGCTCCTCAGTTAAAGGACCGGCAATGGCTTCTCCGGCTGGGGTTGACTACTGGGGCCACCCCCGACTCCAGCTTCTCCTCACCAACCCCCATCAGTCCGTAGGCATCACACCCTCCTGCCACCTGCTGACACAGCTCCCAGCCCTCCTGTCTTAGGGCACGGACAGCCTCCAAAAGGTGTCCCCATCCCTCAGGGGGATGATGGTGCCACACCAAGCCCATCTCTCCAGAAGCTTCCACGGCTCACTCGGGTGTGCAGACGACAGCTCAATCACCTTTAAAGCCACATTCCAGATGCTCTGCAGCCACTGACCCAGCCACCGCATCTCTAATTCAGGGCATCTCTGGTGTGGAAAAGCAGGCAGGGCTCCCCGCACCCGCTACTCAGTTCTGGGCCCTACAGCAGGCTTGGATGGCTGAATTCAGCCACGGGTGCAGAAAGCTTCCCCAAGCAAGAGGCTTCTCTGGACAATGGCCCCAAGCCCACTCCTGCTCCGGGACCCCACCCAGCTCCAGGAGCTGCAGATCCTCCTGGCATGTCCACCAGCCTGCTAGGCCAGGGCACTGGACAAAGCATGAAGGTTCCCTGGGCACTGCCCACTGCCCAGCTCCAGACATTCTTTTCTTCTCTCTGCCACCCTCCCCCACCTCACCTTTGGCGCTGGCCAGTCCCCATGCCCCTCCATGAGGGTAGCCTCAGGCCCACCTGGGAGAGGACATTTCTACCCTCCCTCTTACTAACACATCAACTGCGGCAATAGCCCCTCCCCCTCAGCTCCCAGCACCCTTTCCTGCCCTTCATCCACCACTTCACCCACCACCCCAAACAAAGCCCCTCCACCATTTCAGCCAAATGACAGCGTCACCAAGGAGCCCCTCTGCCACCGATGCGGAGCTCCATCACACACTGGGACTGTCCGACGCATCTACGCTGGGTAGGAGGGGTCCGCCCCCAAGCCCATGAGGGGCTCCTGCTGCCGAAGGGTGGAGGGTGACAAGCGCGAGACTGGCCCGGGCAGGCAGCCTAACA